ACGGCTCTCCGCCACCGCGAGTGTGCGTTCGCGATCGTATGCGCGTCGCCGCAACCTCAAGGTTGCATCGCGAACGAGCGACGCGCACCAGTCAAGAGAGAGAGAGAGAAAGAGAGAGACAGAGAAAAAAATTGCCATGCGCGTCGGTCGCGTGGCAGTCATTTACGAACAATCTAGAAAGAGAGAAAGAGAGACAGAGAGAGAGACCACTCTCCGCCGCAATGGTGTGTTCGCGATTGCACGCAGATCGCTGATCCGCGCCGCGAGGGTGCGTCGCGAACAACCGACGCGCACCAATCGCGAACGAGACCGGCGGCGTCCGGCCAATCGAGACGTACGACGCGGGTGCGTTCGCTGACGAAGTCGACAGTCGCCGACGAACGATCGAGAAAGAGAGAACGCTCGCGAGAGAGAAACCACGAATGCGGATAGCAGGACAACCGAAGAGGTATCGCGAGAACGCACCGCATATCGATGTCGCCGCGAACCGCGCGCGACCTCGACGCCGTCGCGAACCGCATTGCACATCGACGCCGTCGACTAATCGCGCGAAAGGACGACGCGCGTTCGCCACTGCGCTTCGCTGGACAAAATCGCGAACGCACGACACGCGCGCCAATCGAGAACGCCAATCGGCGTTCTCTCTCTCTCTGCGTGTATGTTTTGCGTGTCTTTTTCTACAGACGACGACGCGATACTTCCTCTCCGGCCGCGATCATACCTCTCGCAGAGTCATGCTCTCCCGTTTCACTCCGTCCTCCTCCGTCGGCAATAGAGGCGGTACCACTCCCCCCCGCAGGTGGAATGGATCGAAAGAAAACCGCGATCTCTCTTTGTTTTTGTTTCGCTTTAGCAATCGCCCAATGGCAAAGAACGGAAATTTGTACACGCGCGCATCTAGACCTTGCCGCCGCGGGGAAGAGGGAACCGCGCTCGCCCCTGCCGCCGCTCGCGAGTCCCGGTGAGATATATAACATACTGGAGTGAGCCTTCCCAGCAAACCAATACGTAACTGTAATATAACTAAGGAAGCACATGGAAAGAACAATGATATATTTCATGGTTATAGAGATGATATGTAAATGCAATATAATTTTGAGGGCACTTTAGAAGAACAAAGATATATTTCTTTGTTACGTATATAATACATAACAATTACTTAAAAATGTAATGGAACTCACACGTAACTCAAAATACATAACATAGATGGAACAATTGTAATCTTTCAGCAATTTAACAAATACTACTGATACATAAAAAATATATACTGATAATATAAAATATATTACAAATATGATAGATTTATTCTAATTTTCAGCATCAGGAATACATTTAAAGAGATGCTATTAGCACTTTTTGTCATTTTATTTTTATTTTACATCTATATTTTTAAACACTATATAGATAATATAAAACAAAAATATTTCTCCGAACGCAGTCCAGATTGCTCGATCGGTTTAAAATTGAATTGCTACATACAGGGTGTCCGGTAATAACCGTATCAAATCTTGTGAGCTACTTAAGAGAGCAGATTAAACTGAACAGAAAAGTCCTCTATCATTTTGCAAAATTCGCAATCGTTAACGAGATATTAATTTTTAAAGATTGGCGGATAAACGCGTATCCGTTCAGCTGAATACCGTTGAATATCAGCGTTGAGGCGGTCGTATCTCGCCGCTATTAAAGTTAGTTAATATTTGTTTCAACACGAGAGATATAGAATATAATGGAAAAAATAAGTCTTTTATACAAAGTATCATTAGCTCAGCGTGAGCGTACAAGTCTGCAGTTCTAGGGATCACAGGTTCGAATCTCGATGTTTTCAAAAATTATAAACACGTATAAATTGTAATTAATAAAATAAAAAATATACGGAATAGTAAACACAAAGTAAACTCTAAAAATAATGTTAAAAATAAAATTTAAAAAAATTAATTTTTTTACAGGATAATATATAGAAATATGTAAAAAAGACGTATATGTTACGTTGCAATTATATATATCTGATACATAAATAATACATTTAAAGTTGCTGACATAGAGCCGTACCAGTACGTTACATGTACTGTACAAATAATATTACATGTAATATTTATGACACTTGTGTAATATAACATATACATCTAAGTTATATACTGTGGTTTGCTGGGTTGGGGTGGTGGGGATG